GCCTGCATGCTAATTTTGAGGGGGATCGCGCCCTGAAAAACACGCAATTTTTCTGTTTAAACTTTTTAAGTGTTTCTACAAGGACATCTCAGAGAAGATAAAGGCTAAATGCTCCTTCTAAAACTGAATCGTAATTTTTGCTTTTTTGTTATTGTTATTTCAGCGTATCATTTTTGTTTCTTAAAAATGATAGATTGTACAATCTGAGCTGCCCTTAAGGTACTCATTTACGTTTCATTTTTAGATAAGTATCTTGAGTGCCTATTTTTTTTGAATGATTTTGAAAAAACTACTGAGCGAGCATCGCAAAGTTTCTAGCTTTCTCTCATGAAAATTTAAATGTTTAACTGTTTTTCACAACAAAATATCAAAACGCGAAACTTTGTTGAAATGATATGTTTATATATATCATTCACTATTTTTCACAAAACTGAGATTTTTACATGGAAAAAGCCCACAGTTAGAGAAAACAGTTGACTCAACAATCCAATAGCTGAAAAAGCCACCTCGGCGGTTTTTCTGAGCGAGTTTAACATTTAAATGATTCTGCTTTATGATTCGTTATGAGTTTGTTCACAATTGTATCAATCGTTCGTTTCTCATTTTCATTTTCTGTTCAAGAGGTCAAAAATTCCAATGTTTCTTTTTTGATATTTTGTTTTCATTCTGACAGATCCAATAGGGCAGCTTAAAATTTTAACTAGATAAGTTTTGTATTTTTGACCCAGTGCAATAAACTTTACAAAATATTTAAACTGGAAAAAAAAAAATCCATTGAGCCTAGATTTTTAAAATTCTTCAAATATGTTACACACTGATAATTCCGTTTTCCTAATAGTATTCTCAAATTTTGATTTTATTTCATTTCAAAACTTTGTGGTGATGTTTATTAGCTGTGATGTACAATATAAGCCCATGGTTCTGTATTGTCTGTATTGGACGAATTGGACCAAAATAGGTTTAAAATAACTGTGTAGTTTTTAGTTCGTCACGTGATCCGTGGAGCAACTCACAAAATAATTTAATTTGTTTTGCAAAAAAGTCAGTAAAAAATTTGACATCTAAATTTGCGTCGACGTGAAAACCCACATGTTTAGTATATAGACCTTGTTATTGTCATCATTGGTTCCTCTGTTCAAATTGTCGTCTCTCATGATTACCTTCTTAGTAGAGTTTACTGTTTTCTTTTTCCAGTTTAATAGTTAGCACATTAATTTTCAAACAGTTCCTGTTTTTTCAATTTTTAATTGATTTGGTGTTTATTTTTTTTTGCCTCATTGTGTGTCATCAGCGTGTAAATATGTGTTCACTAAGAATGTAATCGTTGGCAAATTAATTATCATTCAAATGAACAGAAGTCGTCCAAGGGATTACCCCTGTGGCACTCCACAGTGAAATGTTTTCAGTTTTGACAGGTAAGGACCTTTTTTCTGATCTATTTGTCAAATATGATTTAAAAAATGCCTGAATGGGACTTTTTAATCTGCAGTTTTTAGCTTTTTTATAGAACAGCATCAGTAGAAACAGTGTCAAACGCTTTTTTGAGATCTAAAAAACTGCCTTTGTTACTTGTGGTTCCATCCCAGCTCATTTTGAATGTCTCAGAATGAGATATTTCGATACTGCTGTTCAAAATCAAGATCGAAAATTGAATTGGTTTTTAATCAAAACACCAAGCTCAACTGGAAATCAAAAAAGCGTTTGTGGAGTAGTTTTTTCAAACTATTTGCCAAAATCTGGCAAAAGATATGTTGTACTATAATTATCTGAAACGTTCCTTGTTCCCATTTAATATATTGGTATTACCATGGATACTTTACGACAGTCAGGAAAATTATTTTGTTCCTAACTCTTTTAAAAAAACTTTGTCATATCAATATTTTTTTTGCCATTTCCGTTTTTTTAAGAGAGTACTGTTCAACCCAAAAAATCCACAACTGTTTTTTTGCATGGAAATTTTGAAGATCGGCTAGATTTCTTTTCTTGTGTTTTTCTAAAAGACAAAAATTATTACCAACTCGCTTCCAATGGTTTTTTTGAGATGGCTCAACTTTCTCAGCCAATTGATATTCTAGATTAGCATAAAAAACGAATTCAATTTTGTGGCTTCTCATGGTGTAGGTTAACAGATTTTTTGCCTTCCCTTACCCGATAATTCTCTCGAAGTACGAAAATTTTTCGTGTTTTGTCTTGCCTCATTGTTATGTTCGTTTGGGATAATTTGTGGTATTTTCTTGACTCCCAGTTTTCATATTACAATCCTAGTTTTTGCATTTAAAGCTCATTTTTTTCGCAAGTTTTCCTATCTTTTGAGTTGTTTCAAACTTTCTTAGCTACTGTTTGGGAAAATGCATCTTGGAACTCTCTCGCTGTTTGTTCAGTTTTCTAGTTACAGTTGAATGATCTCTAATCAATGTATCCGTCAACTCAACAGCTGTGGCAAAATCTGAGTACATCGCATATATTCAACTTTCGGAGGTAACTGTTTGGTGATTTGATACTTGTTTTTTCATTGTTCTTCTTAGTTTAAAAGCTTTCTATAAATCCTCGCATGCATTTTTATAGTTTGAGATTTTAAACTGTCAAGACGGACGTCTCCAAAAAAAGCCTGTTCAAATCAAGCAGTGTTAATCCAGTTCCCAAATAAACCACCGTAAAAATGTTCTGTTCTGATAGTCAAAAAATCCTTTTGGTCGCAGCTAGAACACTAATGCGCTAAAAACTAATGGCGTTATGAATAAAATAGCCAAATCCACCACCTCTGCTATCTCTTCGTTGAATTTCTACTAGTTAGTGGTTTTGTAAGGTCAGGATTTTTTTAGTTTCAATCTATTTTCAACCATGCTTGTGTTAGTGCAATAACTACTGGTTCATTTTACAATGAATTCAGATAAAGCTGAAGATGGTCATTGTTTTTCCCTCAGTGATCTAACATTTAGTAAAACCAATTTTTCTCCCTCCTTTTTCAGTATGGGCACGCGCCTCTGACCATATTCGATAAACTGCTTAAGCCTCATGTGTTTTCAAAAAAAACAAACTTTATCAATTGAAGCGTAATAACCCTCAATATGTTTCAGTTTAATATTTTAGAGTTTTCATTTATTAATTTTTTTTCATTATCGCTCCAGTTTGACGATAGTTTTTTTCAACAAAAACAAGGTATGAAGGAGAACAGGGGCTATGCACTCCGTTTTTTTGTTCTTCTTTTAGTTCTGTTTGAACTTTTTTCTACATCGCTGAGAAGATAAAAGCTCTTTGTTAAACTGGATAGTAATTTTTGCTTTTTTGTTATTGTTCTTTCAGTGTATCAATTTTTTCCCTTAACTTGGAAGGTTGTACAATCTGAGCTGCCCTGCTGATATTGCAAGGTATTCATTTACGTTCCATTTTTAGATAAGTATCTTGAGTTCTTAACTTTTTTGAATGACATTGAAAAAACTACTGAGTGAGTATCGCAAAGTTTCTAGCTTTCTCTCATGAAAATTTAAATGTTTAATTGTTTCTCACGTCAAAATTTCAGAATGCGAAACTTTGCTAAAAAGATATGTTTATATATACCATTTACAATCACTGACAAAACTGAGACTTTTACATGGAAAAAACCCACAGTTTGAAAAAACAGTTGACTCAACAACCCAATAGCTGAAAAAGCCACCTCGGCGGTTTTCTGAGCGAATTTAGTTTTTAAAAGCTTCTGCTTTATGATGCGTTTTGAGTTTGTTCCCAATCTAATCAATCGTTTGTTTCTCATTATCATTTTCTGTTCAAAAGTTCAAAAATTCCAATGTTTCGAGTTTGGAAATTTGATATTTTGTTTTCATTCTGACAGATCCAATAGGGCCGATTAAAATTTTAATCAGATAAATTTTTGTTTTTTTTGACCCAGTCCAATAACTTTTACAAAAAAATGAACTTGAAAAAAAATTTACGCGCTGATAATAGAGGAGAATTGTCTTTTCAAAAAAATCATCTATCCATGAACTTTAGTAAGTTTGTTACCTTATTGTTCCATTCCATTTCATTTTGGATGTCTCAGAGTGGGATATTTTGATACTGCTGTAGAAAAATAAGGTCGAACAGTGAATTGGTTTTTAATCAAAGCACCAAGCTCAACTGGAAATCAAAAAGCGTTTGTGGAGTAGATTTTTAAAATTATTTGCCAAAATCTGGCAAAAGATATGTTGTACTATACTTATCTGAAAGGTTCCTTGTTCCCATGCAATATATTGGTATTACCATGAATAATTTACGACAGTCAGGAAAATTATTTTGTTCCTAAATCTTTTTAAAAAATTTTGTCATATTATTAATTTTTTGCCATTTCCGTATTTTGTTAAGACAGTACTGTTCAACCCAAAAAAACCACAACTGTTTTTTTGTATGGAAATTTTGAAGATCGGGTAGATTTCTTTCCTAGTGTTTTTCTAAACGACAAAAATTTTTACCAATTTGCTTCTAAGGTTTTTTTTGAGATGGCTCAATTTTCTCAGCCAATTGATATTTTAGGTTAGCATAAAAAACGATTCAATTTTATGGCTTCTCCGTGGTGTAGGTTAACAGATTTTTTGCCTTCGCTTACCCGATAATTCTCTCGAAGTACGAAAAAATTGTCGTGTTTTGTCTTGCCTCATTGTTTTGTTCATTTTGGATATTTTGTGGTTTTTTCTTGACTCCCAGTTTTCATACTACACTCCTAGTTTTTGCAACTTTACTTTTAAGATTGTCGCGTCCTAGATAGATGTTGTTTATTGAAATTTTTCGATTGTGCTAGCCATAGTTTTGATTTCATTATCTATCCAAGTTTCTTGTTTTCGTTTAAATATAGTTTTAGTTGAAACGAAAAGGTTTATGTCTGTTGTAATTATCGGCTAAAATGATTGAAAAGACTCCTTGCAATCTAAGTTTTGAACTTCTTCGTATTGCTTTGGTAATTCAACTAGAATTTAAATTTCATTTCTTTCGCAAGTTTCCTTATCTTTTGAGTTGTTTCAAACATTCTTAGCTACTGTTTGGGATAATGCATCTTGGAACTCTCTCGCTGTTTGTTCAGTTTCTTAGTTACAGTTGAATGATCTCTAACCAATGTATCCGACAACTCAAGAGCTGTGGCAAAATCTGAGTATATCGCATTAATTCAACTTTCGGAGGTAACTGTTTGATGATTTGATACATGTTTTTTCATTTTTTTTTTAGTTTAAAAGTTTTCTATAAATCCTCGCATGCATTTTTACAGTTTGAGATTTCAAATGGTCAAGATGGACGTCTCCAAAAAGAGCCTGTTCATTATGGGGTCACATCAATTGCCTTCTAGTAAGTTTCCAATTTCTTCACTAAATCAACCAGTGTTAAGCCAGTTCCCGAATAAACCACCGTAGAAAATGTTCTGTTTTTTGATTGTCAAAAAACAGAGTTATTTTTGATTGTCAAAAATTGATTTTCGTCGCAGCTAGAACAATAATGCGCTGAAAACTAATGGCCTTATGAAAAAAATAACCAAATCGACCACCTCTGCTATCTCTTCGTTGAGTTTCTACTAGTTGGTGGTTTTGTAAGGTCAGGTATTCTTTGTTTCAATCTGTTTTCAACCATGCTTGTGTTAGTGCAATAACTACTGGTTCATTTTATAATGAACTCAAATAAAGCTGAAGATGGTCAATCTTTTCCCTCAGTGATCTAACGTTTAGCAAAACTAAAAATTTTTTCATCCTTTTTAGTATGGGCACGCGCCTCTGACCATATTCGATAAAATGCTTAAGCCTCATGTGTTTTCAAAAAAAACTATATCAATTGAAGCGTATGAACCCTCATTATGTTTCAGTTTAATATTTTAGAGTTTTCATTTTTTAATTTTTTTTTCATGATCACTCCGGTTTGACGATAGTTTTTTTCAACAAAAACAAGGTATGAATGAGAACAGGGGCTATGCACTCCGTTTTTTTGTTCTTTATTTAGTTCTGTTTCAACTTTTTTCTACATCGCTGAGACGATAAAAGCTCCTGCTTAAACTGGATCGTATTTTTGCTTTTTTTGTTATTGTTCTTTCACCTTATCATTTTTTCCCTTAACTTGAAAGGTTGTACAATCTGAGCTGCCCCGCTTATATCGCAAGGTACTCATTCACCTTTCATTTTTATATTAGTATCTTGAGTTCTTAATTTTTTTGAATGACATTGAAAAAACTACTGAGCGAGTATCGCAAAGTTTCTAGCTTTCTCTCATGAAAATTTAAATGTTTAAATGTTTCTCACCTCAAAATTTCAGAACGCGAAACTTTGTTGAAATTATATATTTATATATACCCTTTACAAAACTGAGATTTTTACATGGAAAAAGTCCACAGTTTGAGAAAACAGTTGACTCAACAATCCAATAGCTGAAAAAGCCACCTCGGCGGTTTTCTGAGCGAATTTAGTAATTAAAAGCTTTTGCTTTATGATGCGTTTTGAGTTTGTTCACAATCTAATCAATCTAACCATTTACAATCACTGACAAAACTGAGATTTTTACATGGAAAAAGCCCACAGTTTGAGAAAACAGTTGACTCAACAATCCAATAGCTGAAAAAGCCACCTCGGCGGTTTTTCTGAGCGAATTTAGTATTTAAAAGCTTCTGCTTTATGATGCGTTTTGAGTTTGTTTACAATCTAATCAATCGTTCGTTTCTCATTTTCATTTTCTGTTCAAGATTTCAAAATTTCCAATGTCTCGAGTTTGGAAGTTTGATATTTTGTTTTCATTCTGACAGATCCAATAGGGCCAATTAAAAATTTAGTCATTTTTTTTTGTTTTTCTTTGACCCAGTGCAATAAGTTTTACAAAAAAATAATTTGAAAAGAAAATTTACGCGCTGTTAATAGAGGAGAATTGTTTTTTCAAAAAAATATCTATCCTAAATTTGAACAAATTTAGATGTATTTGGGTTATAGAAATACAAAATATATTAGATGTATAAACACAAAATATAGTTTCTTGTAGTTCTGTAATCAACTGAAAAGCACACAAAACAAAACAAAAATGCAACGAAATGAAGCGATGACATTTGTTGAATAATAATGGATTATAATCCATTATAATGGATTATAATTGAATAAAATATCAGAAAAAGTTTTTAAAACGTAACCGATTATAATGATTTTTCTTGTTTCGAAAAATAGTAACACTATATACCGTTTTTCTTCGATGATAATTAATTTTTTTTGAAATTTGTGGAGACTGACTATAAAAATCATTATAATCTAATATGTTTCTTTTTAGGGAATTCGGCACAATTTAAGGCTGAGCGAAACAAAAACGACTCAAATGACGCCATCCCTCAGGAATTTGAACCACTGCTGACCCAAAGGGTCCCCCTTTGTCCCATTTTGAGAAATCCGTTTCTGTTAACGGACCCTAAAAATTGTCTACAGACGCCTGCGGCGCCAAAATATACTACTTTTGAGGTGGCAGCGCGCAATTTTTTAGTCAAAACTTTCTAAAATTTGCCTAAAACAGCTTTTTTGGCCTGTTTTTTCAAAAAATTTGACTGTGGCGCAAAAAATTTGGTCCAATTGGACTCTTTATAGTATTTTAGAAGAGCTCAGAAAATCAATATGGTCGACCTAAAAAACAAGTTGGCAAAATGTTCGACATTTTTTTTTGAAAATGAGCCACCTCGAGAAAATCCTAGATCCTCCCCAGTGTGTGAGCATTAGTTAAGCGAAGCGATACACATTTGATAATTCGAAACTTTTATAATTATAATGGGCTAACGACGGTAAAAAAAACTCTCTGAGATCTGCATTGTTGTGTCCTGAGTTTCAATTTTACAGTTTCTTTCATCTTTTGTATTTTAAAGTTTTTGTTCTGACCACCTGACAAAGTGAAGAAAAAGAAATTTGATGCAGGCTGTTTTTTCTTCACAATTTGGATTTGATTTAGAAGATAGATTCCACTTATAATCTTTGCATACTTTAAGACTTGGGCTCTAATTCCAGAGACATAAACCCAAAACAACGATGAGCATTATGAGAGCACAAATTCGCCTCGTAAGGTAGAACCTGAGTGCAAATTTTGACTAAAATCTTAATCCAATTTTTCCCCAAATAAAAAACTTTGACTTTGAACAAAAAAGTAGCAGGAAACTTAGATCATTTTTTAAATTTTTATTTCAAGTTTTTCAATTTTTTTTGAAACTTCTTAATAGCAACTGACTATTCTTGTTGTTCCCACTATTGAAAAGGGGGAAATCATTTCAGTCAGTGTTGTGTTATTTTTTTTTCAAATCTTACAAAAAAAATTTATTACGCAAAATCAGGTACAAAATGGTAATTGAAATAAATCGAGCCCAAAAAATTCTCAAATAATTTTTCAAATATCAAGAAAAATCAAGTTGAATAATTTTCATTGAATCAGTGCAAACTTTTTGAAAAATTTTCTTGCCACAAAATTTAAAAAAAATAATAAAAAATTGCTCTTCAAAAATTAGGAAAAAATCTTGGAAAACTGTTTTTGAGTTTTTGTTCATTTTTTGTTTGTTATTAACTTTTCGAAGATGATTGATGTCATTTATCCAGTTCACCTGCGTTCTACGAGTTCTTATAGTTCTCTCATAAAAACCCGCATAGAAAATTGTGGTTTTTTAAAAATAAAATCTCTTGTCCGTTTTTTGAATGTGATTGAAACATTCTGTCCTACAAGAAAAGCGACTAGCTATACTTGTTTGTTTTTTGAAATCGGAAAACCTTCTTTTCTCCTTCTGAGCTATCTATTTTGGAAATCTAAAGTTGTGAGAGCTATGAAGTATAAGTTTGCATGTAAATATAGGAGCGTTGGTGAAGTGGTTATCTCCCCGCCTCGCAATTGAAAGGTCGTATGTTCGAGGCCCACCAAAATCCGTGTTTGGTATGCTTGAGAGTGAGGCAACATTACAGGGCCCGGAAATCTACAAAAAAATTGCACGTAATTTTCAACCAGGGGCACAACAGCGGCTCTCCACGAAGAGCTGGACAGCTCTTATGTTGTTCCTTTGTTCTTGCGGTTAAATCAACTTAATTTGACCTAACGAGAACAAAAAAACCAAACTTATTATCTAATAAAAGTGTTGCAACTTTATGTGGTAAAAAATTTGACTGTTCCTTTGTTTCAGGGTGTCCAGTGTAAATCTTTGCCATCATGGTTTTTGGAGGCATCCCAGGATTAGAAAAAGTGGTTTTTGATTACTTCATACACTCAGTATTTCTTACCAACAATAACGATGAGCGCTCAAGGCTTCTGATGATGTTTGAGTTTACTGAAAAGCATAAGTCGCTGCAATACTACGCTAATATAATCAACGTAAGTGTTTTGTATCAGTTTTTGTTGTATTCACTTTTGGAAAAACATGGTTTGATTATATCTTGCCCAATAATATTGACGAGAAACTATTGAAAACTTTGCACTGGCATTCTAGTAGAGAAGGAAAAAAACATTTATGAAGGATTTTTGTGGCCAAAAAAATTGTCAATATTATCGATTGTTTTGTCACTCGCAGACAACGAAATGGATTAAAATCAATGATAATCTTTTTTTTTATCAAGTTTTAAAATTTTATATTACAATTAAAAGCATTTGCTTAGAATTTTTTCACTTTTCCACATTATTCAGAATATGGTAATTAAGAGTTTTTCTGGAGAGCTCGGGAAAACAATTTGTTTGATCTCAAAAAAAGCTCGCCAAGTTTTCTAGATTGTTTCTACAACGGCCTCCGCCTCCCACGAGATAGTTCTAGATCTGCCCCTGAATACTTACATTAACGCATAAAATATACATCAACACATACGAACGTAACTTCTCCAGTTTTATCCCCAAACTAGAAGCATAGTTGAAAGGAACTATTGATTAAGAAAAAACTAGAAAGAAAATTTGAATTCGTGCAAAAAAGTTAAAACTATAAAACAGGTAGCAAACTCGAATTAAATCGGGTGCGGGTAGAATGCAATCAAAAAAATTGAAGTTTTGAAGACAAAGAACTAAAGATTGGGGAATAATGTTTCGAACCTTTTTGAATATTCAAAAACCTTCCTTATTTTTCACTTTAATTTCCAATAAATCTTCGTTATTTTCCATTTAACTTTTGTTACTTTCCCATTTAAAAAATCCTGGAATATGATCTTAACCTTGATTTCAAAGTTTCTACATGCCAATATATATTGAAATTATTAAAGATATCTAAATTTTTGGAACAAAAACTTATGAAGTTTAAAGAAGCTAGTTTTTGAAGACCATTTTTATTACGAATGCACATTAATGATTCATTAGAATGAACAAGTTAGAATGAAAAAAAAGAAGCATTATAAATTTCAATCATCGACATTATAAATTTGAATCATCAGTCTTGAATGATCATTTGATTTTAAAAGTGGAGAATTTTTTCATTGATTGTCGTTTTGAAAGCAACAAAAAAGCAACGAGAAAACCTGGACAATGATCTTAACGTAGATTTCAAAGCTTTTATATGACAATATCTATTGAAATTATTAAAGATATCTGAACTTTTTGAACAAAAACTTATGGAACTTATGAAGCTAGTTTTTGAAGACAATTTATACTACGAATGCACGTTAATAACTCATTAGAATAAGCAAGGTAGAATGAAGAAAACGGAAGCATTATAACTTTCAATCATCGACAATATAATTTTGAATCATCAGTCTTGAATCATCATTCGATTTTAAAATTAGAAAATTTTTTAATTGATTGTCAGTTTGAAAGCAAGTTTCCAGAAATATTTAATGCGTATAAACTAGCCATTTAAAGCATAAATAATCAAAAGTATCTTCAAATTGTGGTCTATGAAACGCATTCTACGAGTTCAAAAGTTTTGAAAGTTCTTGATTGGTGATATCTAGGTATCAAATTTGTGGGTGGAAACTTCAAAAATTTCCTAGGTACCATCAAGTAAAATAACAGTTTGCTGAATACGTATTTTTATTATTTGTTAAGTCAAAAAAAACTCAACCAAAAAATCAGAGAATAATGAAGCATTATAAAATTTCTATAGAAAGTTCCACAGTGAAGTTTCTCATAACTTTTGTTTTGAATATCTTGAAAATAATCAAACATCAAAACTGAGGTCGGTGTTTTGAAAACGATTTAATTTTAAATCTCTAAAACTGAAAGTGTTTAATACTCTTGAAGAGTTTTAAAGATCTCACTAGATTTTAAGGAATTTTCAGTTTTGATTTTAAGATCTGGTTAACCAAAATTTCACAGTTCTGAGGTGATGTCGATGTTTTGCGGGGCTGTTTAATACCGTAAAAAAGCGCAGCCGTTTTCAAATAATCAACTTTGAAGGCAAAAAGCTATGCAGATGCTAAATACATCATTTTGTTCTTTTGTTTGAACGTAAAAGAGGAAAGCTGGAAATAAATCCATAAAACCCATACCTTTAATCAGGGGCGGATCTAGAATTTTCTCGAGGGGGTGGGGCATTTACAAAAAACGTTTGAAAATTTTTATTCACCTTTTTTTAGGCCGACCAAATTGATTTTCCGAGCTCTCCTAAAGCGCTAGAAAGACGCTGTTTTGGCCAAATTTTGTGCGCCGCTGGCATATTTTTGAAAAAAGCCGTTTTTAGGCATTTTTTGGAAAACTTTGGCAAAAATCGTTTTTTTTGGCGCGCGCACCCCCTCAAAGTTAGTATATTTTGGCGCCAAAGCTTTATGAAAACTTTAGGGTCGGTCGGCCAAAAATGGGTTTCTTAAAAAGTACCAAAGGGGAATCCTCGAGGGGATGGGGGCATCAACCCCCGCCCCCCGCTAAATCTGCCCCCGCGTTTTATTGATCTGACATTTCATTTTTGGACTCTAACTCCCCCTTCGCTATGCAAAATGTAGAAGCAAATAATGACTAAAAATCACAACTTTCGGTGAAAACAATGAAGCCAAAATATTTCTTTTTCAAACAATGAAGCCAAAATTTTTCACTTTTTATCAAACAATTGATATTTTATCAAAGCTATTTGGGTATAATTTAGCTAGAATAGATCTACTACCCAAATACTACAAAAGTTAATTGAATATTTTTTCGCAGATCCAAATATAACATCAGTCAACAAAAGTTTTCATTTTTTCTGTAAACTTCATTCACTTAATATTTCTGAATACAAGTATTACTTATATTACATTTCGAAAAAGAATGGTTGCCATTTGAGGGCATCAAGCAAAAAAATGGGGGATTCTGGAACACAAGCCGAAAAGCTGTATATTGTCGTCATTAGTGGCGGATTTAGGGGAGAGCGTAGGGGGTCGGATGCCCCCCCCCCCTCAGGGATTCGACCCCCTGCTGACCCAAAGGGTCCCCCCTTAACACTATTTTGAGATATCTATTTTTGGCTGACTTACCTTAAAACTTTTCTCAGGGCGCCTGCGCCGCCATTTTTTACCAATTTTGAGGGGGATCGCGCGCTGAAAAAAACGCAATTTTTCGGTCGAAATTTTCCAAAATGTGCCTAAAAACGTTTTTTTTTGGTCTTTTTTTGAGGATTTGCCCACGGCGCAGAAAATTTGGTCAAATTACGGTCTTTATAGTGATTTGGGAGAGCTCAGAAAATCAGTTTGCTCGACGTAGAAAAATAATGCTCTGAAAATTTTCAAAATTTTATTGAAAATACGCCTCCCCCATCGAGAAATTCCTAGATCTGCGCCTGGTCTTCATATCTATATTGTTTATGGCGAGTCTGACTTAACCAAAGGTTTGATTTAAAGTCCGAGTTATCAAAAAGTGTGAAAAAATTACACTTATATTATACTTAAGATCAATCATAGGGGTGGTTTTGGCCATCCTGGGATCTTAGACCTTGAAATAAAAAGTTGTTTCAGGTTCCCTTGTGCACGATGATAGTGATCATAAACTTGTACAGCTTGATAAGCTTTCGCTATGTGAAGGAATTACAGAGTCGAGACTTTGTTCTTCTGTTTCTTCAAAATCTGATCGAGACTTTGGCTTGCTTGGCATCAATTGCCACATCAATCATTGAAAATCTAATCTGGTTGAGCAAAAGCTGTAACAGTGATTATTATGACCAACCGAACAGGATAGCATTTCTCACAAGCCAATAACATGACCGATTCAACTGACTTGGTTTTTGTGACTGACAACAATTCGCAATTGATACCAGCCGTTCGCCTGATATCGCAGTTAGCCAAAACTAATCAAAATTGCAGCTATTTAAGGAAAAACAGCCAATTTATATAACCCAGAGTCAAGTCTTCAAACACTAAAAACTTTCATAGGAATAAACAAGAATGGATAAAAATCGATCCTCTACTGAAAAACATACAGATTTTAAATCTGTTGTACATTTATATTGTAAGAATTCGATTATGTAGCTTTAATAATCGATTATATAGCATTTTGTTTGCAAAAGTTCTATACTGTTTATTTTCATCATGTAATCATTACCAAAACGCAATAAAACTGTTTTTTTTTCTGTCTCAAATTGCATTCATACTATATACAGATATTACACAAATTATATACAGATTATCTACAGATTATAAACTGATTATATAAATATTATACACAGACAATATGCAGATTATAAACAGATTACATGCAGACCATGTACAAACTATATACAGATTATACACTGATTTTCTCAACATTCGCGCCAATCAGATAAAATGAGTATATCGAAACAAAACTATGATGTAAGCTTTTCAATGAAATTTTTGTACTGATGTTCGATCTTAAAGAAAAAAATTTTAAAAACGTTATTGTGGAAATAAGTTGCAGCTAAAACTATTTGCTCTATGTTAATTTCTTTAATTTTTTACGGATGTTTTCTCTCAAAATTGCGCTAAAAAGGTTGATCTTCAAAAAGACATTTCAGGAAGTTTTGCAAAAAAATTACTTCTTTTGCCGCTGGAACCCTTAAACTGCAAAATCTTAGAAGGATCTCTTGAAGCTTGTAGTTTGCGGTAAACAATTTCCCACAGTGAGTTCAACCAGCTCCCTGTAACACTCAGGAATTTTTTCTTGATTAAAAATTGCTGTCAAATTTGTGAAAAAAAATCATTAAATTTTGAATGGTCAAAAATAAAATGGTTACAACCTCTATAGTTTTTAGGCACATAATCAGTTTTGTACAGGTTTTATACAGATAATATACAGATAATATACAGATTATCTACAGACTATCTACAGATTATATACAAATTATCTACAGCTTTTATTGTATAAAGATTACACACTGACTTTATGCAGATTATCTACAGATTATATTAAGGTTTTATAGAAACGAAAAATCGATTATTTTGGCGCTAAAATCCATTTAGTTTGGTGAAAAAAAAAAGATTCTATCTGTATAGAATCGAATCTTCTTCGCAAAATGATTGTAGATAAATCGATTCAATACTTACGTAAATCTGCAGATTTTTCTTTATAAAATCGATTTTATTACATTTTTGTCACTGCGGGTCTTAATTGTTTGTTGAGGTAACCGAACACATGGTGCAAAATTACAATTCACTAGATCTACGACCAGTCTTAATAACGATAGGCTTGCATATAAACTGAGGAATAAGAAGGCTTGGAGTGTTTTTAAATTATTCAGACCAATTTTCAAAAAAAAAATTGTGCTGAGTCGGGTGATCGATCCCTGGATCTTCGTGTTCCCAGTATCTTCTTTTTTTTTTCTGTTCAGAACAATTTTCAAAGGACACTTCCTGAATTGGGGGATCGATCACTGTTCTTCGCGCTCGCTATTATTTCGACCTTACTCTAAGGTCAACCTTAAACTGCTCCTTTAAAATTCTGATGCTAAAAGTTTCCCGTACTTCAAATTTCGAACTGAAATGAAGCAAGCTAATTCTTTGTAGTAAATCTATATGCGACGCAAACATAATATTTGAAGTTATTAACACAAAATTTTTATAGTTTGTCATTATTTCAATTACCAAAAACTATTCGATACAGGTTAAAGGGCAGTCGGACCAGTAAAAGGGCAGTTTCGTTTTTTAAATAAATTTTTTTAAAAGTATCATATGAGTTTTTCTATTTAAAATGTTGTTTTTAGAAGAATATTGGTAGAAAAATCTTGAAATGCTATCCTGCCACTATAGTCTTCTGTGTACAATTTAACTTTAGTGCAAACTCGAGCGGTTTACGGCAAATGTGATCTTTAATGTCTTACATGATACTTGAGTTCTTTAAAATTGCTACTAGAGCCCAAATACGTTACTAACTTAACTCTTTGCATGTCGCGTTAGGATAACGTCTTAAGAAAAACGTTTGTCTTTTTAGAAATATATTTGTGGTGGTGTATTGACTAGCAAAAAACTCTATTGGCATAAAATTTAAAATATTGAAAATTGCATTGGCTAGCATAAAAATCGAAACACAAAAATGAAATATTCATACAAAAATAAATCATTACAAAAATTGCTTTTGAATTTTGTTATCAGTACCCATACAGCTCCCTATTTAGATTTTCAGAACTAAATTACTAAAATACTATACTAAAATTTTGAATCGTTTTTGTATGATATAAAAATTGAGTAATACAAATACGAAAGCAAAAATGGAAACCCAATTAAAAGTTGATAGTTTTAAAATGCATATTTCAAACAGAAAGGGTAGTCAAAAACATTACATTCATAAGCGGGCATGGTTAACAAGGTTGAAACTCAAGATCTAGATTCACATTATTTTCCCTCGATTCTGCCTTGTTTACTATAACCCCTTATGCCTGTACTTTCAATAACCATTTCTGTAATTAAAAATCGGTACGAGGCCAAACTGTTCATTCTGTGCATTGTAAACGGATTTCGCAACAGGCCAAAATCAGATTTCTTTTTTTTCTTTCACCTTCATTGCTGTTTTTGATTCCACAGACACAAGTAGTATGCATATAGTACACTATGATGGTATATGAAATTTTTGCACAAGTGAAGAAAGTTCATTTACCCATTCAGTTTCCAAGCATATTCTCTACGTAGTTTTCCACAATTCTCTAGTGTTCACTTTTGGAAAGAGCGGTGGTCAAGGGTTCACATGTATATACTGGTAGCGGAAGGAAATTATATAAAGTCGTAAACTTGGAATGGCATTGTGAGTGCAGGTTGCTCAACTCATATTAAGCCGAACCGTAATGGCTATTGTTTGAGTTTTCACATTATGACTATTAGTTGTCAAATATTACATGGTGACAAAGTTTTGAGATGAATTGAGCGAACGGGAAATGGCGCAGTGAAACATATCAGTTGTTATTGGAACGAAGATTTAGCAAATCCTTTCCAACGCCAAACATTTAAACACAACGTTCTGTGCGAATACTCAAGAATTTATCGAAACTTCACGTGAGGACTATTAGTTATAAAAGAACACGTGGTGACAATTTTAATTTTTACATGGTGACATTGGTTGTCAGATAATACATAGTGATCATTATGATCTATACCCAATGCTCATCCATGTATGACAACCCCAGCCAACCGACTTAAATTTCGTTGAAAGTTTTTTTGGCCTAAGAATGGTCGAAAGATTTTTAAAACTGTAACTCTAGCGTTGCAATACTTTGAAAAACTCAGTCAGACCTGATCGAGAAAATTTGATTTCAGCAAAAGTCGAACGGAGTAAGAAAACAAAAATTAGCTATAAAATTTCAAATGAGTTTTTCATAAGAGCTTGCATATGACTGAAGCAATACTCTTACTAAACAGTCTCGAAAAAAACTGAATTGGTCTCAACATAATTACTAAGAATAAACTAAACAAATTTGTTTAAACAGATTATAAGTACAGTTTAACAATGACAGTTTTCGACCGTTCTTTGATTTGAGACTCCTTGATTGTTCAATGACAAGATCAAGGGCGATTTTTTTCTTTGATTCTCGTTTGCAACAACATATGACATGATAGTACTTCTTTTAATTATGTTTTGCTGTTTTCCTCAATTCTGGAGAACTCGATAACAAAAATCAATTGAATACCAACTGAAATTTGATAATTTAATTTTGTTTTGATTATTCGGAATAAACGCTAGGGTTTTTGTGGATTTATTGCATAGTAAGCATTGATAAAAGCAAATTATATTTCATCGAAAGATTGGCTATCGGACCCCCTTCCTCGCCGGGAAGTATTGTCGACGCAAACGGTGCGGGTCGCATCACTGAGCCACCACTGGTTCTTTTTCGCCCAAAAACTAGCAGAAATCGGCGGCCTCCGGATATTCCTCCACAAGTGCCCTCAATCCAGATCCATCCGTCAGTGCTTGCTTTACCTCCATCTGAAGCCATACCACATGCTTGTTGATTACGTCGTCTGGTGAGTACTGCCGTACTTTGGGGAAGTTATCAAAGTTGACTTTTTTTTTGAAGGACTCAAGAAACATCTGAAGAGAGTACAGAAGAAACGGAGCGCCTTCACACTTCTCCATCAAGAACTGGAAACCTTCAATACTAAAAGAAGTTGCTTTCTCAACTTGATCTCTGAAGCCGCTCCCAGAATTCCACTGTCATTGTTTCCACCTTGTCCTTCGAGATCCATGTCTACGTTCTTTGCAGAAAGTGTTCTGCTCCTTCTTCGCCAGGGAACTCTTTCAACTGAAGGAAGATATCCGTAGATGTCAAAAACAGTTCGGGATGTGGCACATCCCAAACCATTCTGTATAAAACACTCTATTCACCTTGGTCGCTAAGACCAAAAGCAACTTTTGAACAAGTAGTCATTTTCAGGAAAATTTCAAAGAAATTAACTTTATTCTATGAGAAGATTGAATCAACGAATTATGTCCAGACTATTTTAGTTTTGGTGTAATTTCAGTTTGAGAATGAAGGCTAGTTTTATTAGCTTATCATGTTGAGCAACAAATGATCTTCTGGCAACGTTTTGAAAACTATAAATAGTGAGGTCAATTGTTTGCAAAATGATACTAGTTATCACAATCACAAACATATAAATCGAATTGAACTAAGAAGTTTATGTCTAACTTTCCCAAAACTTAGCACACTCTGCAGCAATGTTTCCATTTCATTCATACGCTGTAATTTGTACTCCTCGAATAATGCATTCATCTCCTGTAAATAGACAGCTTCTCAGTGGTTGCATGTTAACCCGTGGACTTGAACCTTTTAATGAACCTTATGTTTCTGGCCAATAAACTAGGCCAGAATTAAAGTTAAACCCAGCTAACAGATTAACTCCTACTTAAAAAGAGCTGTGAAAGTTATACCAAACTCTTTTTATTACTACAGCTTCAAATGAAAATTTATTCTAAAGCTATGTCGATATCTTTTTTGCATATGTGGCTG